TCAATGCTGAAAGGTACATCAGAGTTAATGGAGCATTTAACAACCCCGTTAACATCAGAGTCCTCGTCATCTACATTAACTACAGCTATGGTTGTACCTGGAGGTGAATCCTCAGGTATAGACTGAGAAAATGACATAAGCTGTATTGTTGGGATGTTGTCATTTTCATCAATTATTTGAATTATTACTTTGCACATGTCAGTAAATCCTCCGTGATCACTGGCCTGGACATTCAATTGATAACTTTTAGATTTTTCAAAATCGAGGTCACCTGCTACTCTAACCTCTCCTGTTTCTGCATTAACTTTAAAAATATGCTCAGTTTCCCTCGACACGTGAACAATGGAATAAGTCACTTCACCATATTGCCCTTTATCTGCGTCAGTTGCCCTTACAGTAGTTACTAATGTTGATAAAGGAGAATTTTCTCTGACTTCTGCTTTGTAAACAGACTGTTCACATACTGGCGCATTATCATTAACGTCCAGCACAGTGATGTGAATGCGCACTGTTCCTGATCTCCGTGGCTCACCGCCATCTGAGGCAAGAAGAACCAGAGTGAGAGTCTCCTCTTTCTCTCGGTCTAATTGATTTTGTAAAACAATTTCGATAATTTTACCACCACCAGATTGAATTTTAATTTCTAATTTGAAATTATCTGTTGGTTTAAGTGAATATTTTTGAATGTCGTTAATTCCAACATCGAGGTCGTCTGCACTTGCCAATAAGAACCGAGTGCCCGATGGAGCATTTTCACTAATTTTCAAATCAACTGTCTCTTTCGGGAACACTGGACTGTTGTCGTTTATATCTATGACCTCCACTGTTACACGATAGAGCTGAATTGGATTTTCTAAAATCAACTCGAAACTGAAGCTACATGGCGTCGTCTTTCCACACAGCTCTTCTCTGTCGATTTGCTCTTTAATAACGAGGATTCCTTTGTCTCGGTCTAAGTCAACATACTGTCTGCTTCCCTTTGTAATAATACGAGCTTTACCTGATTTGAGTCTCGCTAAATCCAAGCCTAAATCTTTAGCAATATTTCCAACAAAAGATCCTTCAGCCTGCTCCTCCGGTACAGAATACCGAGCCTGTCCAGTCACCGAGCTCAGCTGAGAAAGACAAAGAATGGCAACCACAGCCTGCCATCGGCCTTTGGACGAAAAACAGTTCTTTTATTTGCTCGTAATCAAACGAACGAACTGCATGTATGATCCCACTCTCTGCGTTCACAGACAAGTAATTTGAAATTGGAGCTCCACCGACATTACAGTCCTCAATAACATAAGATACTCTAGCGTTTTGGTTTTCGTCAGGGTCTTTCGCATTCACGACGATGAGGGGAGTGGGTGGCGAGTTATTCTCTGCAATAAAACCACTGTAAGATAGTTTTGAAAACTTAGGGGCGTTGTCATTCACATCCGACACTTTTAAATGAAATATCGTTTTTGTGGAGAGTGAAGGAATTCCGGCATCTGTCGCAACAACAGTTATGTTGTAGACTGAGGTACTTTCCCGATCTAAGACGGTGTCAGTAACCAGAGCAAAATAGTTTCTCACATTTGATTTAATCTTAAATTGTGCGTTTCCTTCTATTCCACAAGTAACAAGACCGTTATCACCGGAGTCGAGGTCTTTCACATTTATAATACCGATTGTTGTGCCAGGAGGAGAGTCTTCTGACACAACACTACTGAATGACATCACACTGATAGTAGGCGTGTTGTCATTTACGTCCGTTATTTCAATTACAACTTTACTCGCATCTGTCAATCCGCCTTGGTCTTTTGCATTAATTGTTATCTCATATGTTTTGTCTTTTTCATAATCTATTTGCCCTGTTAGTGAAATGACCCCAGTTTCTTCATTTACAGCAAACAAATGATCAAGATCACTGCTGTGGTCTGAAAAATGATACGTCACGACGCTGTTTGGACCTAAATCTGCGTCAGTAGCGTTAACCGTGGTAACGTAGGTGCCCCGAGGGGAATTCTCCATAATAGTTACCTTGTAAACGGACTGATTAAATATAGGTGGATTATCATTGACATCCAGAACAGTCACATCTATATTTACTGTGCCAGACCTCTGCGGACTTCCTCCATCTACGGCTGTTAGCTTCAAAGACAGATGAGGAGTCGTCTCTCTGTCCAGTGGCTTCTGAAGCACCATCTCCGCTTATTTTTTTCCATTTGCAACAGAGCTTTGTTTTAAAACAAAATTATCATTGTCGGTAAGAAAATACTCCCTGAGTCCATTAACACCCACATCTGGGTCTTCTGCACTCGACAGCGGAAACCGAGAACCGACATTCGCAATTTCACTGATTTCAAATTTGACGCTATTTCTTTTAAACGTGGGTGCATGATCATTAATGTCTGTGATTTCGACTGTGATTTGGTGTAGCTCCATGGGGTTTTCTAAAATCACCTCAAAACTGAAACTACACGGTGTTACATCTCCACACAGCTGCTCTCTGTCTATTCTCTCATTTACCACCAAGATCCCTTTGTCTGCCCGCAGCTCGGTGTACTGGACGTTTTCCCCGTTTACAATGCGGGCCCGACCAGAACGAAGCCTTTTCAAATCCAAACCAAGATCCTGTGCAATGTTTCCAACGAGGGAACCTTTCTTCATTTCCTCCGGGATAGAATATCGCAAATGTCCACTGACCATATAGGTGAAATGAAGGAATAAAAGCAGAGCCTGAAAATGTCCGCTGCCTGCGGTAAATAATCCAAACGCCATAGCGAAGACTGAACACGAAATATCCTCTGGAATGAACAATATTCTTCTTCCAAAAACGTTTAGACTGTATACTATACTTCTGAATAATTAGGAGTTAAAAAGAGGAATTGATTATTCCGAATCTATGACGACCAAAGTAATGTGCTTTCCCCCGTCTATGCCTCTCTGATCTGTTACAGACAATAGGGAGTGGACAGTGTAGGAGGGTGTTCAACACCATGTTGTGTTAACCAACAGCGTCTCTTGCAGTCCAAAAGAAGTAACAGCATTCAAAGGTTACCCATATGCAAAAGCGGTAATGCCAAAAACAATGCATTGTTGTTTTAACAGCAAGTGAATAATTAATTTGTAGTAAATAATTAACGTGTGCATTTTGTCAATAAGAGCAATGTAAAATAAAAAAAAAGAAATAAAAAGAGGGGCATAAAGAATACACCGCAATAGCTACAAATATACTTTGTTAAGTAATGAGTGTTTTAGTATTTTAAAAATAATCCTTACACTGTTTCATTAAGTTACTATCACGTTTTGACACTGATTTGTATTATAAAGAAAATAGTTTGGATATATTGTGGTTAAAATGAGAAGGTAATGTGTGATCACAATTTTAAAAAAAACGACAGGAAGACGAGTGCTTACTAATTTACTAACCTCCAGAGCAGAGTCTGGTTCCTCCAGGAAGTTCTTTTCATTCTGCACACGTTGCATTGTCGCTGTAGAACTTCGGTCCATTATCAAGACGTTCTGAACACCAGCTTGACCAAACTTACAGTCGCTCTTTCTGGAGTCAGTCGTGTTGCACATGTTGTAGTTGTAAACATGAGGTAGAGTTCCTGTTCTTAAAGTGTCTGAGTAGCTTGGTGGAAAGTACGGAATTACCGGGAGATTGGAGTGACATAGGATTCGAAACTGTCTCCATCTGTAGATCTTTACTGAGATAATAACAACTAAACACGTGATGAAGAGGAAGGAAACTACAGCCAGAGCCAACACTAAGTAAAAAGTCAGGTTGTCATTGTACTCCTTGTCGTGTTTAAAGTCAGTGAACTCAGACAGTACTTCAGAGAAACTGTCAGCCACCGCCACGTTAACAATGACTGTAGCTGAACGAGAGGGCTGTCCGTTGTCCTCCACTATAACAGTCAGTTTTTGATTGACAGGATCTTTATCAGTCACTTGGCGGATAGTTCTGATTTCTCCATTCTGTAAGCCAACTTCAAACAGAGCCCTGTCTGGGACTTTCTGGAGTTTATAGGAGAGCCAGGCATTCTGTCCAGAGTCCACATCAACAGCCACCACTTTAGAGACCAGATAGCCCACATCTGCTGAACGAGGCACCATTTCACCCACCACAGAGCCACCAGTCTGGACTGGGTACAGAACCTGAGGAGGGTTATCGTGCAAAAACCACCTCTTTAATCTGCTCATAATCAAACGAACGGACTGCATGTACAACTCCACTTTCTGCATTTACAGAAACATAATGAGAAACTAGTGACGCACCTATTTCTATATCTTCCAAGATATATGAGATTTTAGCATTTTGGTTTTCGTCTGGATCTTTAGCAACGAGCCTCAAAACTGAAACACCTGGGGAGTTATTCTCCGGAATAAAGGCACTGAACAGGGTTTGTAAAAACACGGGAGCGTTGTCGTTTACATCAGACAATTTTAAAGAAAATGATCTTTTGGATGAGAGAGGAGGGACTCCTGCATCTGTAGCTTCTATGGTAATGTTATATTCTGAGACCTGTTCACGATCCAATACAGAGTCTGTTATTATCGCATAATAATTCCTCACATTGGATATAATTTTAAACGGAGCTTTTTGTTCTATTTTACAGGTAACCAGGCCGTTTTCACCCGTGTCGGCGTCTTTTACGTTAATAATGCCAACAGTTGTACCAGGAGGAGAGTCTTCTGACACAGTATTACTGAATGACATCACGCTGATAGTCGGTGTGTTGTCATTAACGTCACTTATATCAATTATCACTTTACTTGTGTCTGTCAAACCTCCCTGATCTTTCGCGTCGATTCTTAGCTCAAACTTTCTGTCCTTTTCGTAATCGATCAAACTTTTAATCGAAATGACACCAGTTTTCTTATCAATCTCAAACAAATCACTTAGGCCGCTGTTAACATCAGAAAAATAATACGTAACTACCCCGTTCGTACCAGAATCTGCGTCACTAGCATTAACAGCTGTTACGTATTTACCTTTGGGCGAATTTTCTATCACCGAGGCTTTATAAACGGGCTGATTAAATACAGGTGCATTATCATTGACATCGAGAACAGACACTTCTATATTCACTGACCCTGATCTCTGCGGAGTGCCTCCGTCCACAGCTATGAGCTTGAGTGACAGAAGAGGACGTGTCTCCCTGTCTAGTGGCTTCTGAAGCACCATCTCCGCGTATTTTTTTCCATCCGCATTGGATATTTGTTTTAAGATAAAATTATCATTTTCAGTCAAAAAATAGTCCCTCAGACCATTCACACCCACATCCGGGTCTTCTGCAGCGGCCACTGAAAAACGAGAGCCTACATTTGCCGATTCACTAATTTCGAATTCGATGCTATTTCTTTTAAACGTCGGCGAATGATCATTAATGTCTGTTACTTCGACGGTGATTTGATGCAGCTCCATGGGGTTTTCTAAAATCATCTCGAAGCTGAAACTACACGGTGTGACGTCTCCACACAGCTGCTCTCTGTCTATTCTCTCATTTACCACCAATGTCCCTTTGTCTGTCCGCAGCTCGGCGTACTGAATGCTTTCCCCGGTTACAATGCGGGCCCGACCAGAACGAAGTCTTTTCAAATCCAAACCAAGATCCTGTCCAATATTACCAATGGGAGAGCCTTTCTTCATCTCCTCTGGGATCGAATATCGTATATGTCCCCTGATGTCTCGAGTGAAATAGAAAAGGATGAAAAAAAGCTGCAATTGCACACAGCCAACCCAGAAATTTCCAAACGCCATCACAAAAGCAAAGCAGAGATGTAGTAATAAAATCCAACCAGTAGGCTTCTTTTGAGGTAAAAAAAAAAAAGAAATTAAATGTTGCCTCAAAGTCACGGTGTTATCAAATATTGTAGATTTGAGAGCTGGAATCGCTAGATCTGTACATGCCAGTCTGTAAGCCAAATGATTTTCTCTAAAAGAACAAGTAGGAAGGGAGGGAACAGTGTGGTCATGTTTTACTACTCATCTTAGATTGGCCAACAGCGTCCCTCAGAGTCCGAAATGGGAAACTTCATTCAAAACAATATTTCTATAAAATGCCTTAAATCTTAAATTGCTGTAAATATATGAAACAAACAAAATAATGGACGTCCACCATGTTGAGCTACACAATCATCTGGGCATTAACAACAACAACAATAATCAAATCATAGACAATCGTTGTAAATGCGCTGTATGAGATTATTTGCGGTCCTTACAGAGATTTACGTTAGATAAATTGAAATGGAATACCAAGAGGTATTGCATATAATATGACCAAGTGCTCCAAACAAACAGCTTTTTTTGTTGCAAACCCATTAAATGTTTATTTGCTCATATAAACAGAAAATGCCACACAGGAAAAAAAACAACAACAAAAAAAAGTTAGTATGCTTTAACTGACCTCTAAAGGAGAATCTGGTTCGTCAAGGATGTTCTTTTCACTCTGTAACCGCTGCATTGTAGAACCTCTGGAACTGGGCTCCATTATCGACATGTTCTGACTACCAGCAAAATTGAATTTACAGTCACTTTTTCTGGAGTCTGTTGTTCTGCACATCTCGTAGTTGTAGACGTGAGGGAGAGTCGCTGTCCCCAAAGTATCAGAGTAACGTGGTGGATAATATGGAATCACAGGCAGACCGGAGTGATAGAGGATTCGAGACTGTCTCCATCTGTAGATCTTCACTGAGATAATAACAACTAAACACGTGATGAAGAGGAAGGAAACTACAGCCAGAGCCAACACTAAGTAAAAAGTCAGGTTGTCATTGTACTCCTTGTCGTGTTTAAAGTCAGTGAACTCAGACAGTACTTCAGAGAAACTGTCAGCC